TGATGCTTTCTCTTTGATTCTCTCTTGATTCTTGTTGATACTTGTTTCTTATTTTTGATCAATGGCTTCTAAGCTTGTTTAAATACACATTTAATTGATTCTGAACATTGGGGGATGATTAGTGGAGTCAATACAGCCATTTAAGTGTGAAAATAATTAATATTAGTGGTTGGGAGCGTCTCATGCATCGATGCATACCCTAGGTGCATCGGTGTATCAAGTGTAAAATTCAAATATTTTGACCGTTGGACTCTCAGTGCATCGGTGTACTAAGAGTGCATCGATGCATAAAATGCATTCGATGTTTTGAAATAGCCTAAGTGCATCGATGCATCAAATGCTCTAAGTGCATCGATGCATGGTATGTGCATCGATGCATAAAATGCATTCGATGTTCAATTAATTCCATGGTGCATCGATGCATGGATTTGTGCATCGGTGCATCACTTTGAAAATTTGATTTTAGGCTTGATTTTGGTTCAAAATACTTTGTGAAAATTGTTTCAAAAATAGTTTATGTATAAAACACAACTTTACACATTTAGTAAGGTTTGAAATGATCTTGAAATACTTGGAGTAATAATTTGATATTCGATTAATTGAATCGAATATACTTTAGAAAATCATTTGTAAAATCTTAAAATTCATTTAAACTCAGTTTGTTATATCGAAATATCAAAATGTTTTCAACAGGAAAAAAATGAGATTATCAAATAATGTGGTCGTGGAACAATTTTGGGTATGATTTTGCGAAAGGTGTTTATGGGGTTGACAATGTCGACTCGAAGATCAAAGATTCAGATTCAAGCTCTTCTTCAGATGAAGAGTGGGAAAATTAGGCAATAAAGTACATAGTTGAGGATCATAAGAAGAATATGATGAAAATAGAGTATAAGGATAAGAAGTATGATGATTTACCGAAGCGATGTAGCAAACGACTCATTGAGAGGGAATAAAAAATTAAAAATATTAGTATAGAAATTGAGAAGAAGAAGAAGAAGACGAAAGAAAAATATGAATGTGTCTTAATCCGACGTACTGAACGAATTGTAGAGGAATCTAAAAAATTGAAAATAATATATGTACAAATGTTGATTTGTATGGTTTTAATTTATGTATGAAATTGTCTCTATTAATTAAGTAATTATTGAATTAAGTAAACTTATTTAGTAATTTATGTATTTGACGCCATCATTGACGCCATTTACTCAAATTGCACACTGAAATCTCCACGAGATTGACCGTATTGAAGATGATATCATCCATCACTTGCTCATGTTTCTTGTGTCGAAAATTATTGTGAATGTGACACTTGATCTCAGGAACTTCCTACCCACACCGCTCGATTCTTCATCGATGCTTGATCCACAATAACTTGCTTGAGATGGATAATAATCGGCATAAGCATAAGATGAAGATGTTGATGAAGACGATGATTTTTTGGCATATTTTTCCTTTATTTTTCCCATTCGGCCCGATCGCCCGGTGTTGTTAAGTATGATTTCTCATTTGCTTCGTAATTTTAGAGGTTGGGAGAAACTGTAAAATCAAAATCTTCGGGTTGAATCTCGAAACGATTAGGCAAATGTAAATGCCTCTCATGCAATTGTTGTATATATATAACATGCTTCATCGACCAATCTTCCATATGCTTCCCGCATACATCTATTTTATTGAAATCCTCCATGTTATATATGGATATTTTCATCGGTTGGTGAAACTCAAATTGTTGCAAAACTTGATCGGTGACAAGAATCTCAACAATTACAAAATGGAGAAGTGGTGTTATGATGCACCACGTCTCCACTCTTTCGAAGAAAAATTACGGTAGACACTGTTGGATCTCCGACTCATAACACGGCAACCAATTACACTGTCAAAAATATTATGTTAGTATAATTAAAGAATAAATATTACAAATTTCAATGTTAATACAAAATTTATTAATATTTATAGCATGTCTACTGGCGATATTGATCCTCATTCGAATATCTACTTTGGTTGCACCCGATAACTTTATATCGGTTATTCAGTGTCACCATCTAAAAAAACAAAATAACAACTACATTATGTATTGTCATTTTCGAAATATTTAAATAAATATTATAAAATATCAATACTTTAAATTTAGGAATTTGCCTTGCGGCGAGACGAAGCTCTATATGAGCGGATGTAATAGGCGTAAAAAACGGGAGACGATGCCACACCCATGATTGGAGTAAAACTAAACAATCTGCTACATCCGCTTTTTGTGTTCTAACCACTATGGTCGCTTGCAAAGTTCACGATACAAAAAAACCACAATCGCTGAATCCCAACTATATTGCAACATACAAAGAAATCCTCCAATACAGAAAGATATTGGGTGTTCACTTAATTTCCCAATTTATTCGATAGCAAGATCCCTCCAATCGTCATAAGATATGCTCGGGCTGAATATTTCACCTTTTGCTTTGTTGATTGTCTATCTACTCTAAATTCTCTTTCCAACCACATCATCCATATCTGCATCCTATCAATGACATCAACTGGAGCTTCATTTCCTAATAAATCATAAATAAATACATCTCGTGCATAATTGTTGCGAAGCACCAATGACATACCATTAATCGGAACTCCAAGTTGATACGCGACATCTTCCAATGTTACAATCACTTCACCATAAGTAAAATGAAACGTATGCGTTTCGGGCCTCCAACGCTCAATCAATATCGATATCAGTGCCGACATCACCTTAAAACTACAAAGAAACGTCACTGGATATAATCCGGATTGTTGAAGATATACACAATCCATTCATGTGGCTCTTCATTTGTTATTCCTCGATGGTGAATTCCTCGTTCTTCTTGTTACAATTTGAAAATAAATTAATTAATAAAATTATATAAATAATTAATATTAATATATTTTTTCAAAAGTAAAATAAAATAAAACAAATAAAATCTACCGTAGTCAACTCAGTTGACGAAATATAAACATCATCAAGACGGAACATTTATTCTATTGAGATCATTTCAACACAAAATCTTCATTAAAAAAAGTTTTTAATCTCAATAGAGTTTTTGTTTTTAAGTGAAAAATCAATCTAACACAAACCTCTATTTATACTACTCTATCCAACGATTAGTTTTTTAAATCGAAAAATATTCGTTGGTACTCGTCACACCGACATAACAACTTACCTTGATTTTTTTAAAAAAATTTCACCGTTGGCCAACGTTTCACAAAAAGGTTTCCTTGAGTTTTTAGAACATAAGGTAATTAATAATATCAAGTCTATTGAATATATTGAGTGGTATCGATAGTGAAGAGAGTGTCATTCTCTTTTAAAATTTTAAATTTAAACAACTATATATCTATATGATATATATTAATAATAATTAAATAAAATTATAAATAAATATTATCTTATAAAAACTTTTATTATTAAAAAAAATATCAAAGCCTACAATATATGGGTTAGATGCCTAAGTGAGTCAGGATAACATGGACAAAACCATCATCATCAAACTCCACATGGCGGACCCCACCACATCATGCATGTGAGCTAAGAATCCTAGGGCTATAGATAAATCTAGAACTCCTCGTCGGACACATGGGGTATTTTTGTCTTCTAAATATAATTTATAATTAAAAAACAAATTCAACAATATATTCTGAGTGTTCAAATTTTACATGCTGATTTTATAATACAATTGTGTAAAACTTGCCATTTTCCCCCAAATAATAATTAGTTATTTCTTGTTTATTTGTGAAATGATTCCTCCTCACTTTTAAATTTAAGAAAAATATGTAATAGATATATTAAAATGAATGGATATAATTTATTCAAATATTTCCATTTAAAATTATATTATTTATTAAATTTTATTTGATTATATTAATATCGGTCACACTCATGTCTAGCCGTATTAATAAATACAATTCCTCAACCTTTGGGATAAAAGTATATGTCCCATTGATCCTATTAAGTACGTCTTTGTTTTTTTTTTTTTTGATGAAATATATGATTCTTATCTAATTTGATTTTAAAAAATATACTTTTATAAAGAAATTGATTTTATTTCAAACATATCATTGTGAAAAATCTCTCTAAGATGGAACGTTCCGTATTATTGTTGTGGTTGTTATTTCAGATGTTCATTGTTCTTGGAATTGTCATTTTATCTTACTTTAATAGTCAAAACAGCCCTTAAAAGAACCCCCAAATACCAGCAAAATATCAAATAAATCGTATGGTTTCCAATAATCTGTTGACATGTAATTTCATCCCATACCATCATCAGATATGGTATTTACAAACGGCTTTCATCTCATTTCCTTTCTGGGTTAATCATGAACATGTAAATAATATAAATTATTTTTTAAAATAAAATTCAAATATAGAGTACAATAAAATAACACATTTCTAACATAAAAATTTAAAGGGATGAAAAAAGTAAAAGTAAAACTTTTTCTTAAATACATTTTTGTTTTTCAAAAAAATTAACAATTATTAATAATTTCCTTATTTCTATTCAAACCTAGAAGCAAATTTATTTTTAAAAATTCTACTTTCCTAAATAAATTTTTAAACTTTATTTATATAAACAATATTTTATTAGTATAAAAATGTCGATCATTCCACTTAAAGATTTTGTCATTGATCCAATTTTCATTTCAACCTAATCTAAAATATTTATATTATGATCCGTTTGATAGAAAATAAATTTAAAAAAACACAGTGAATGCGGACTTTTTCAAACCGAACTTAAGCCGACTCTGCACTTTAAATATAAAACTCATGGCACCGATGGCATGAATCAATAGCAAGTAGACAACTGATCTGTAATCTCAATTATTCACATAATTTCATATTATAAGACAAAATATGATGGTCCCTAGTCCCTACACCTTTTTCTGCCCTCAACTTGGTACTTTATGCCGTACCCTCCTCCTCCCTTCGTTTTCAAACCAAACTTCAACCTAACACGGTCACGTCTCTTATATATATATACCCATCGCCAATCTCAGATTTACAGCATCCATCTTCAAGAACTCAAGAAACCAAAAGAAACCCTTTCTTCCATTTTTCAACTTACTCAATTTTCCCTGCCTGTTCCTTCTTGCATGGCAGTGAGGTTGTTGTCACATGAGTTATCTGACTTGTGTCTTGGCAAGCCAGCGTTGAGGTCACTTTCGGTAACTTCCACCGTTTCCGAGGCTCTCGAGGTCTTGAAAACCTCCGATGATAACTCCGTCAGCGTCTGGAGTTGCGATCATAAGGCCAAATTTGGTCCGGCTGCTGGTTTTTGTGAAGATGATTGTAGATGTGTAGGCAAAGTTTGTATGGTGGATGTGATTTGTTATCTTTGCAAAGATGAAAACTTGGCGTCACCTTCGCTTGCTCTGAAGGATCCTGTTTCTGTGCTTTTGCCTAAGGTTCCTGGCCTTGTTTTGCATGTGGAACCTTCTTGCAGGTACATAGATTTATCCCAATTTTTTCTGTTTTTTCTTTATGGGTTTTTCAAGTGATTAATTATGATTGTTCTCTTTGTTTGAGCAGCTTGTTAGAAGCAATTGATCTTATACTTGGAGGAGCTCAAAATCTAGTGGTACCAATCAAGACGAAGCTCAGCAACAAGAGAAAACAACACCAGAAGCCATCACCCACGGTTACTATTCACAAAGGCCGTGAATTTTGTTGGCTAACTCAAGAAGACATAATCAGATTCCTACTCAGCTCCATTGGCCTCTTTTCGCCAATCCCCGCCGTCTCCATCGACACTCTCGGCATCATCAGCTCTGAAATTCACACCATTGAGTACCATTCCCCTGCCTCTGCAGCCATAGGAGCCATTTCTCGAGCACTCGTGGACCAAACTTCAGTGGCCGTCGTTGATAGCGAGGGAACTTTGATTGGAGAAATTTCCCCTTTCACCTTGGCCTGCTGTGACGAGACGGTCGCAGCAGCTATCAATACCTTGTCCTCTGGGGATCTAATGGCCTACATCGACTGTGGAGGTCCACCAGAGGACCTAGTCCGCGTCGTTTCTGTGCGGTTGAAGGAAAGAAATTTGAATGGAATGCTTGAACATTTTACCATGTCAATGTCATATGGTGGATTCTCCTCATCGTCTGATGAGGAATCCACGGCGGTCGTGTCACCATCGCCGAGGTCCCTAAGACATAGTAGGTCGATGAGTTATTCGGCCAGGATGGTGAGGAGAGCGGAGGCGATCGTTTGTCATCCCAAGAGTTCATTGGTTGCAGTGATGATCCAAGCCATTTCACATAGAGTTAATTATGTTTGGGTTATAGAAAATGATTGTAGCTTGGTTGGAATTGTCATATTTTCAGACATGTTAAAAGTTTTCAGGGAACATTTGGAAGCCATTGCTTGAAAAAAAACTTGCTTTTGGTATTCATCTTCCAACTATTAGATGGACTAAAATAATTAATGGATCTTCCTTTTTAATCTCTCTCATAAATCTTGAAAAATGAAAATCAATGGAGTTTCATTATGGTATAATTTACATACAATTCAAGCATTTTGATGCTCATTTAACTGATCCGACTCATCTTCTAACTCGAAAACTAAGCTAAAATCTGGGTCATAATCTGTGTCGTAATCGGAGTCATACAAGAAGGGCTGCAACAGAGACTTGGCATTGGGTTGATCCCACCCCAACGATTCCCACAGCTCCTTTTGGGTATATATGAATCGTCGGAAGAGATGGTTCGATGTTATCGAGTAGCCCGGGAAGATACAGTGGCATCCTCTTTAACTTACGACATTCTTTTATAAGGACTTCTTCAAGAGAATCACACACCATTGCTCCATTTGCACTGCAAATGCTTTTTAATTCTGGTAGATTCTTCAATCTCAAAAACAAAAATTCGGGAAGGACAACTCGGACGGTACCTGTTCCTTCTTCTGAATCCGATACTATTATTTCCTCCATTGCATCACAAAATGAAACATCGACCCGTTGCAGCTTCTTCAGTTCTGTCAGCACATCAAAAGACAATAGCTTTTGCAGCTCCCGACAGTTCTAAACATCGATTTGGCAAAGCGCAGAAAACGTGGGACGCGGCATTGAGATAAACCATGAGAACAATGTGCCACTAATTTTACAGTCTTCAACACTCAGTTGATGAACATCTCGTGGAAGCTTAATCATATGATCTGCACTAACATCATGACCTCTTTTCCTTTTCCTTGGTTTGATCATATCAAGGCTATTCAATCCAATGTAGTTCGGATAGGATTTGAATTTCCATTCCGGCGATTTTGGACCGACATAAATATTGTATCTCAGAGGGCCTTCATCGAGAGCTTCAACTTACTTGTTCAGTTCCTCAACGTCGTAAAACCTGCCACTAAAATCCTCTTAACTTCCACAATGCACCAACCTGTCCTACTAATGTTCTACCAACATTGAGGATCCGAAGGGATGAAAGATTTGGTAATATTCCATTTGGAATCTGTTACATTCTTAATGTTGACTAGTTTCAGATTTCTAAGATTCACCAACCTGTTCATCCCATCGGGAAGACTCTTGATGTTGGTTCTTCTAAGATCCAGGTCCCTTAAAGCTTCGAGTTTCGAAAAAGATGGAACCTTCTCCAAGTTTATACAACCGTAAAGCAATAGAAGAGTTCATCCGGAGACTGAATTCGGGAGGCGCTCCAGGGGCGTCGTGGACAAATCAAGAAACTTGAGAGCTGACATTTGTTGAAAGGAACAGTCTGGTATACTCTTTATAAAGCATCCGGACGGTAATAGAGTAGTCAGTATAGGAATGCTTTAATACTAGCATTATGTAATTTCAATTGAAAAGCCTGAACACAACAGTCTCACAGCTTGAACAGCAAAATTGACTATTATCAAACTCCATTGATTTCCATTTTCAGAGTAATTATTTAATTGCAATGGGTGGCAATATCTATGGTTTCTGACCTACTTTTTGCATTTAAGAAAATATTGATAGGCAGAATTGGAGAAATATTAAAAAAGTCAGATTGAAATTGAGATTTATATTTGATATTGATCCAGATAACTTTTAGATGGTAAGTAAATTTCTATATTTAGGATGAGTTTACAAAGTCTTTTATTAGTTGAATTTGATTGTAATTATTTTTTTTTAAAAATCACTAATTTTATTTAAAATAAGAAATATCCTAAATTACAATAAAAATTTACAATCATAATCATAAATTAAACACATAATTAGGACAATTTCCTATAACCATTGAAACGAAACTAGCAACTTAAGATCACATAAGGACCATACAAGGAAAGATTAAAATCTAACCAAGAAAACTCGAACAAAGATAGATACAAACAGATCTGATCGTATCGGTAAACGAATCATAAAAGGGATCAAGCTACTGAAAGATCACCGACAAACCGTAAACCATACTCGAGCGAAGTGAAAAGTTATCCACGAACGCGTAACGGGTATCCAAATCCAATCCAAGTGTCCAAAGCAGAGAAGATTAAGAATATAACAGATAAGCGCCCTCTTGATTAGTCGTACCGAAAAGTATTAGAAAATAAACTTATTAAAAAATGATAGATGAAAACAATGACCAAACGATCGAAAAACGTACCGAAAATCATAAGAAAACGTACTATAAAAGCAGAGTAAAACGTGCGGTACAAATAACTTATTCAAAATAAAAAGAAAAAAAGACAATAAAAAAAATCAGTGGTTGGTAACTAACATTAAAGTTAATCTCGTCACCAATCAACAAAGATAAAAAGAAAAAGAGATAAACGACTTATCAATGAAAAAAAACTAAAAGAGAAAACTTAATTGTAATTACTTGTCACATAGAAAAACTTATTTTATTATATTTTTTCAGATTGAACTCGAAAATTAATATTAACTCGATTGAAGACGTTATTTCTTACCTATAAACCACAAGCTTAATAAAAATGAAATTTACTAAAATGATCCATTTTTATTTCACAAGAGGTTAAAAGAAGCATTTTTTTATATATAAAAGTAATCTCATTTATAATTTCCGTTTTGTTTTTTTATTATAAATTTCAAGCTCATTGAAATTTGAAAAATCTGTTATTTTTTTTTGCTTGAAAAGAGATCTGATATAACTGTCAATGTCGGTTCTTCAAGATTCAGTTGCTCTCTCTTTTTCTTTCATTGATAATCTCTTTCCTTCTTCCTTTGTGTTCGGGTCTTAAATAGAACTGCAAAAATTGGACATTTAATAACAGAAAGTGTGTTCAGAGACTCCAGACACAGAAGATGCATTGAATATTTGTGAGGCCAAAAACTACTGAAAGTATTAAACTCTTGTCTTTGAAGTTTTTGGCTTTCATGCTAGTTTTATTTCTTCAGGCTCAAACAAGCTTCTACATTGATTCATGCTAAAACTTGGGTTCATTCCAAAATCTTGGAAAAGGGGATAATAAAACTTTGGATCAATATGTTTTCCTTGTTTTAATCTGATATGAGAAGCAAATCCTGTATAGTTTTAGAGAGGCTTGAATGTGTTGAAGATATAAAAATCATAATTTGTTTGATTTTATGTCAATGTGACGTAAAATAAGTTAGTATAGGTTGTGTGTTACATTAGTTTCTTGTGTTTATATTAGGCAGCATTAGTTGTAGTTTAAAAGAGATGCACTGTGCTGACAGTCTTTGTTGCAGTTTCTTTGATGGTACTGTGCTGACAGTCTTTGTTGCAGTTTCTTTGATGGTGGAGCGCTCAATTCACCGCGTAACCAACGTGAGAAACGGGTTTTTAGCTTCCCATTTTCGGTTTCTTTATCGTGTAAGGATAACATCTTATGTATTATACTTTTGTTGTTTCAGTGGTTAAAGACAATTGAGAGAAAACCTTTGCTTAAAGCTTTGGATAAGATGAAGAATGTATATTTCCTTAAATTTTCACCAAATGAAACGTGTGAAATGTTGTTTTCTGATTCAGTTTTTGAGTGCCATACTTGTATTTACTATCTCTTCATTGTCTTTTGGACTTGTTTCTTCAGAGTTAATGCTGCTCGGATTCATGTCGCTCCTTCTAGTAGCAACATCGAGGGTGATATCGAATATCTGCATTCCATCAAGGTTCTATACCGGTGCCTTCACACCATGCTCCATGTCTGAGATCGTTGAAGAAGATGAAAATGGTTCCTCTGAGGACCGTCACGTTTCGATGGCTTCTGATTTTCACTCTTTTCCTAGAATTTTGAGAGACAGGAACACCATTACCTGCAAAGAGGCATGCAGATAATCCATTTCACCACAAATTCCTGCTATTGCAGGGTGTTCTACACTATCATTCTTTAAACTATTCTGTTCTGCAGGGTCATGAGCCATTTGTTTCTTATGAAGGTCTTGAGCAGTTGCATCGCTTCATATTTATAATGGCAATCACACATCTAGCTTACAGTTGCTTAACGATGCTACTTACAATTGTGAAGGTTGGTCTTTTGATTGGTACACAGTAAGGAAAAGGCATTAACAGTTCTATGTTGCTATTATTTTCTCACTTTTCGATAACTATTTCGGTAGATTCATAGATGGAGGGCATGGGAGGAGGAAGCTCATATGGACCAACATGGATTTTTAACTGGTAAGTTCAACTTCAAACAGTTTGATGCCTTGATACATGCGATTACTTGAGACCAAAGTCACGCAAAAGACATTTCGAAAAATTTCAAGACATTATTATGATGATTATAGCTTATTTGCTGCAGCACAAGCCAGAGAAGCGTTAATGCGAAGAGAAGCTGCTTTCGTTGTACACCACAAATCGAACCCCTTGGCGAATAATAGAGCTGTTATCTGGGTGGCAGGTACAGAACATTTCTTCTTGCTGCGTTTACTGCAAGAGTTTATTCGTAGATTTGTGATGCATTTATATGTTCTCTGTCCTTTGTATATAGTTCATTCATAGATTCTATTTTCAACTTACAGATATGTTACTTCCAGCAATTCGGGTGGTCGGTTGTTCGTGCAGATTATCTGACTCTTCGCAAGGGGTTCATCATGGTACGTGCTGTTTATAGTCTTGTTCATTGAAGTTTTCTTATGAATGTTTATGCCTTATGCCATTTTTAATTATGGCAGAATCACAACCTGTCGCCAAAGTACGATTTTCACAACTATATGGTTCGTTCTATGGAGGAAGAATTTCAAATGATAGTTGGTATTAGGCAAGTAATGTATTCATAAAAGAGTTTTCTGATTTTTCAGTCAAATTGTTATGAAGCCTATGATAGCTCCTACATCATTCATCTGTTATCTTTCTCTATATCGACCTATTTACAGGGCCATATTTTCCGTTCTCAGGTATCGTTTTTGGCATAACGGCTGAGTTGATTTTAGCATTGCAGATTGCTAAATATCTGTTCATTTAATTTCCTGCAGCGCTCCGCTTTGGGGATTTGTTGTAGTCTTCATGCTATGTAATGTGAAAGGTATTGTACATCTCGTCTCGTCACCTATCTGAATGGTGTGTGTTCGTATTACAGGTTCTAATCTTTATTTCTGGATAGCTATCATTCCCATTACTGTAAGTCTTTTTCCCTTTTACAGTAAATTTTAATGGCGTTTGCATATACATCAACAAACGAACACTTTTAAGACTCACTAGAGTTAATCTTTAATGCTGTTCTGGTTTTTTATGTTTAAACTTCATATGCAGCTTGTTCTTCTTGTGGGAGCGAAGTTGCAGCATGTCATGGCAACGTTGACACTGGAGAGTGCCGGGATAACTGGCTACTGTTCTGGAACCCTGAGGCCTCGTGACGAACTTTTCTGGTTTAAGAAGCCAGAATGGTTGTTGTCGCTTATCCATTTCATTCTATTCCAGGTTGTTGTTTAAGGCAATGCAGTCAAGTACAATAATTTTTACATTTCAGACTCCATTGGCCTGCCAAGTTATTACAACTTCCATTTCGTCCGTTTAGTGTTCTCGTTTCGTTTCTCTGCAGAACTCGTTCGAACTGGCTTCTTTTTTTTGGTATTGGGTACTTTCTCTTCCCCAACTGGATCTGTCATATGATACAATGAACCATTCTCCATCGATATCTGTCGCTATATTTCTGTGGCATCGGTCAAATGTCTTGTTATTTCACATAGTAAAAAGCCTTCAAGATAGAACATGAAATATGCACATAAGAATCAAACTCTGATAGTATAGCAAAAGGCATGTAGGATCTTGGCATGATAATTATCTTCTGTGGACATCTTTGCAGTGGCAGTTTGGCTATAATTCATGCTTCCTCCATAACCATACGTTTGTTTACTTGCGTATTATTTTGGGGTATGCATATGACTTTGATTGTCTCGATTTCATAGTGAAAATATCGGCAATATCAGTCCTTAAGTTATCATTCGTACCTCGTAGGTTTGCCGGGCAGTTCATGTGTAGCTACATCACTCTGCCACTGTATGCTCAGATCACTCAGGTATTATAATTGTTCATTGACATCTCTATTTACCTTAATTCATATTAGTATAGTGTGTTTTGTTGATTCTGTGCCTTTAATCTCATTCACAACTCCGGTTTCAGATGGGAACAAACTTCAAGGCGGCTCTAATTCCACAAGGGGTACGGGAGACTATCCATGGATGGGGTAAGGAGGCAAGGAGAAGTAGGAGAAGAAGGAGAAGGCGTTTCGTCAATGATTCAGCCATCCAAACAGACACAAGCAGAGTATTATCGGCCAACGACGGTTATCACGGGTTGATTGACATTCATGGAACCCGCGGTAGTACATCCAATGGGATAGAGATGCAAGCAGCAGGTAGGGCTACACCCAAACAGACCTTCAGCAGTTCGTTAAAAAAAACTGAGTTTCTTCGGGTTGAAGAAGATGGATTCATAGGTTCACAGATTGTAACATGTACTTTGTAGCACGGTATTGTAACATCAATCTAGATACCAAATATCGTTGCAGACAAGTCTAACACATAGTGAAGACTCGGAATGTTGTCTATTTCATGATTGTACCGATCATGGAGAAATCACTTCTAAGACATTAATTTCGAACAATATAGTAGCAAATCATTTCTCATGTTCTTTGCTTTGCTACTTTCAGCTAAATCTGTTCCACACAAGAGAACTAAACAATGATGCATACATTGTCCAGTTGCCGGTTTGAGCTACATATATTGCTCACACTAAAACCTTACGGCAATGGCTATCAAATATATACGAAGTTTTAAAAGATTTATATAAGGAGAAACCAAAAGTTGAAATGACAATGAGAACGAGAAGAAAGAACACTCTAATATAGTAAAGATTCATGGATTCAAAAGTCCCTGCCTGTCATTTCGGTTGTTGAGCGTTTCCACGAGGAGGAGAGTGCGAATTGGGCTGTCCCTTGGTGCTCCTCTGAATCCTGGCAGAACGAAAGAATCAGGGTATCGATCGACATCTCCACCTGCAAAGAAGAGAGTTGCAACGACATAACCAAGAGCCCAGCAAACCTGTAAAAACATTACGTCAGTAGCAATTTCTCATTATCAATATGATTATAGAGCTTAATGTGTTAATCTCACGCCTATGAAATGAATTAGAAGAACAACGATTAGGTAACATACCAGCACGGGAAACAATGGGGAGGATAATTTGTTATGACCGGAACTATACTTGTGAGTATCCAACACAAGGAAACCACAAACAGCACTCGAAAGACTGACAAACAACTTTCCGAGAAACAGGATAACATCTCCGATCACATTCACCCTCTCTATTCGAAGAATGTTATTCATGATCAATTCGGTTGCAGTTGCAGAAGACTTACAAAACTTTCCCCTGTTATGGCAATCTGCAAGAACATAAGGTTATAATTTAAGAAAAAGTTCGGACTCTGAAGAAACAAAAATAAATGTACTAACAGCAGCCTGATGTCTAGTTCTATTAGAATGTATTCAAATGTTATAAAAACGAGCTGCGTAAGAAGGTTCAATATAGAGCCAGCTTTTCTTTTACTTGTCGTTTTACCTCTAGTATGCAAGTAAATAACTAGTGTTGGAGCATGACCAACATCCTATGTTGCTTCAAATATTCTTTTTTTGAAGCACTTGTTTCCATAATTTTAGTTTTTTCTTTCTTCCAAAACTGGTTCTAGAAGATTACCATTATATAAGCGTTTCGATTTACTGATTTGATCGTCCACTCGACACATCTCAGGCATCCCTTTGAAGTATGATACCCAATCTTTCCAAGCCAGGAATCAGGTGTAGTGCCAGCAACCTTGAGTTTCCGACGAAATGACTCGAGAATGAAACGGATTGATTCCACGAAAGACACAATCAATGAGCCAAGGGCCACAGACCCAAGGCTGTATCTTACAAGCCGCTTCATAGAGGCAAAAACCGGAAGAATTGGGATCTCTGGCTACAAGAGTGAACCACAAAATAATCAAGGAAAGAATAAGTCATCTGGAATAAATTCCTTTAAAAAACGAAGAGAAAGAGACAATTTCTTACATAACGTGATGTGCATACCCATAAACCTATTCTTTACTTCATTACTAAATGACTTACAAATAGATACTAAGTAATAGATATGTTACTTTGGCGTGTAAATTAGTCGACATAAGTTACTTGACATATACATGGTAAATTAGTTCGACATATGTTTGGAGTATGGTAAATTGTTTGTTTCCCCATAGAAACATGTATCCCTCTAAAACCATAAGGTAGCTTCGTAGCTTACCGATGTTCACCACGAGTCCAATAGTAAGAGGCAACAGAACCGGCAATCACAGTGGAAGAACATGCAATAAAAAATTTTGTAGCCCAGTAACAACCAAAGGTGGAAGAAGATTGCGACAGCAACATGAGGGGTGTAACGGATGCTATAACCACAGCATCGATCACAGTTCACTTTTTTCGACACAAGATCGTAAGCACAACAGTTGGTATTACAGTTATTCTGAACAACCTGACCTGAACTGAACAGATGGAGGGCAGCTGATATCCAGAACATGTAAAAGATTGCAAGAATCAAATATGGTATGATTGGAAAAATTATCAGGGCTTGGACTTTCCTATAACCTTTGCAGCAACCTGTGTACAATCAGAAGCATAATATCACTTTTTAGTTCTTTCGATTTATCAAATAAAATTAAATTGGAAGTCTTAAAAGAGTATTCTAAGCCGTACTAGCTGATGCTACGCAGATATCTTAAGGGTTGAATTATTGCATGCTCCAGATGCAGAAAGCACTAAATATGGTAATTAGAGCACACTTGCCTTGAGGACTGATGTTCCCATTAGGATGCGTCGAACGATTGCAATTGATGTGAGGACAGAAGAACCATAACAAATGTCATAAGATCGCAACAGAACGTAGATGATTTAGTTCCTGAAAGAAGCAAAGTTTAACAGAAATAACAAAACAAACAAACACCCATTATAACAAAAATGATCTAAGAAGAAAAAGCAATAACCCACTCGTCCAAACACATGTATGGATCGTGATCACCAATGATAGGAGAGATGCATCGTTCCCAATCCATCCAGCTAAAAGCAAGAAGAAAAGGATAAATTTAGCATCGTATTGAAAATGGCAGTCCTTATATTGAAAACACAGACGAAATTTATGGCGTGCAGTAAAGACGACAAAGAGTAAGAGGTACATTACTAACCTTTTAAGTAGTAAAACATCGTAACCATTATTAGAATTTAAAGAGGGCAACTGTGATCCAAGGCATAGCAACAAAAAATGGCGAATCATAACAGCCATATATTGAAGAAATAGTGGCAATAGCCCACCGCAAACTATCAATACAGGCCATGCCTTTCCAATCAGCCATGTAACGCTGCAAATACATCAGATTAACTTTAAGTTCTTGATTAATTCACAAAGTTGATAAGGAAACTTTTTGGAAGGCATGAAGTTGATATACACAACTAATTAAGATACATTCTTTATAAGCAAAAAGGTATGGCAGCAAAGTTGCTCAACCTTTAAGACAGATGACCGAGAATCAATGAAACTGTGAATAGATTTATCTATTACAATATCTTCACTGATATCCACTCCACCCATCTGTTTCCAGTGCCGCAAAGATGCATTTGAAGCACGAGCAATAACTGGCAACTCCAGTAAACTGAAAAGGCATGCATAATAATTCTTGAGATGGTAAAAGAAAACGTGTGTATGCTTTGATAATAAATATTAAACTTTCAAACAAATCATTTCCAGTTTACCTACATTCACACTCGGAAATATAACCGGGTAACATGGACCCTGAAGTTGGAGAGAAGCATTTCTCATTTCTGGTGTAAGAAGTTCATAATAATCGTAATTTCTATCGATCCAATCATCCATTGAGATGTGGATATCCCCTCTGGTCTGGATAATCACAGACCCAACTAAGTGAATCTTCTAACGGAGTAGGGCAATCCAACAAGCATATACTCCGAGCATTAGACAATTCGAAGTGGCTGTCCTTCACACCACTTAGATAAACTTGATTCGGATTCAGCCAATATTTGAGTTCCAACTGATGAAGGCCAGGATGAGCATGCTTGTCACCACATACATCCCTTTGTAGTCAGCCCTATGTTAGCCTGTTATCGCCATACAACATAGAAAATATCAAAATAAAAAAGAAGAACAGACCAAGTTGAATGAAAACAGAGTAGGACAGAAAACATAATTCTTAACCGGCTATAGTATTGATCATTTTTAGCTTAACCAAGTCCTTTGCAACTCTCATTTTTAATCCTTTTTTTACAAATAGAAGAGTTACATTGTTTCCATTAATACTATGACCAACTCTGAAGCAAAATTCTTAAGTATTCATTTTTATTCCATAGTCAGTAACACTTCCATTTTCGCTTCAGAAAACCAACAGGTTTATGATGATTTATCCGGTCCGAAAAATGAAAATGGATGTAAAGTCCGATGCAATCCATTTAAGTAGATGCTTGTATCATCTGAAAACATAACTATGAACTCAATCTTATATTGGTAATTGGAGGCAGGAAGTATAACCTCTATAAACTGTGCAAGCATTGATACCCACAGGAAGTTCTAGAAATCTAGAAAAAAACCTTTACAAGCTAGGATGACCAATGACACTATCTGCAGACTGCAGTTGTATCTCTCCGAACAGAATATAAGCATAAACTAGAATTGATGAATGGTAGCAAAGATCTACAATGTGGTTAAAAACAATTCTGACCAAAATCAAGTCTAAATTTTACATCTGTGTGACTTCAAAAGCACCACATTTCCCAAAATGCCAAAACCTCTAATCTAAGTGAAACTTTGGGAATAATCCCTATAGTTTGTCAGCCAGCCAGCCTCAGCTTCTAATAAACGGAAGCATTTGATCTTTTGTTATAATTCTAACCTCACTGAGAAAGCAATTCCCAATTATGTGCCAGCCATTTTCTATTATTTTCCTCAATTTTCTTAGCAACCAACCAACAAGTGAAAATGCTTATTAAGCAAAGAAATACTGCTTAACAAAAAGGAAGACATTCATTAGAGCTATAAAAATAAACCAAAACAAGGAATCTGATTTAAGCGATAAACAAAACATACCATAAGAAAGTCTAGAAAGACCCCAAAATATTCGATCTCTACCAAAATAAAAAGTTCCATTTTGGGATTCAACAAGAATATAAAGTGTGTAAATCTTCATTAGAGGAAACTCAGAGACAAAAGGGAAAAGAATACCTCAATGGGCTGCCTTGGTTAAACCCAAAGCTAGAGTTAACGATCATAGCAACCCAAAATGATATAAAAATGACAAGAAATGCAACATCTCTACATTTCCTGTTGTGCTTAATGATCCCTTCATTTGCTGTAGCTCCATCACTTGATGGATACCTCTCTAGCACTGCTCCCAAAGGACCTCTCATTAGTATGAACTTAGAATTAAACAAGAGTTTTGAGAATGTGTAAAGGAAGAAAATTTACAGAGAAGGGGAGAAAGGGGGAAGCTTTTGGTGGAGTGGAGTATAAGCTGAGGAAGAGTTAAAAAGGTAGAGAAGAAAGGGTTTTAGACTTAGAATTAAAGTTGAAATGTGTTTTGGTCTTTTAAGACAAAGATTTGTCTTAAGAAATCCATGTTTTTGTCTTAAAAATCCATGTTCTGCTGTGGCTTGGATTTTCTGCTGGGTATTACCTTGGCTT